TAACTGTTTATCATAGCCCGCCTCAGGTGATGAATGAAAAGGAATGACTTGCTCCAGTTTGGAGCAAGATAGTAGTTGTCATCTGGAAATGGAGGCTTCCTGGGGGCCATTAGCTTCCTAAGGCACTACTGCCTTAGAGGCTACCTCACTGTGTTATTCTGGGTGCAGGTATTACTGCTGTCTGCTGAAGAGAGCAGAGTGCTCTAGCCTACCTACTGTTCCACATGTCTCCCCATTCACTACTCTGAGAAATGCTCCTGCCCAGCCCTCCTGATTGGATTTGCATTGTTTTGGTTCAAGGGCTTGGAGGACCTTCAGACTGCTCCTAGTTTGCACTGGTCTTATGTTTTGGATGGTTGTTAGTTCCTGTATTTACTTTCTTTTTCTTTCCTTTTTCCGTATTTTCACCCTTTTCCTTAAATCTAATCCCATTTTTTTAATCTTTCAGGGATTCCTCAAAATTTCGTCAGCTTATGGTACTATCTGCTTTCCAGCACTGTTATAGATATGCTTTTTAAAAGTCTGTTTTGATATTTCCTGGAGATTTAGTTGGGAAAGGGAAGTTATCTGTTCTCCATCTACCATCTTTATCTAGGCATCTGAATCCTTTACTTGCAAGGTTCACCTATAAACATTCCTTGAATTACCCTACACTGTGGGAAAGGCATGATGTCAGTATCTTGAATTGCTCTTTTGTAGTCAGTTGACTTTCTCTTTATGCTGTGTGCCCCTTCAGAGCAAAGACCACCCTATATTCATCTCTATTTCCTTTCCTTTCCAGCAAGCTGCTGGATATATGGTAGCTGTTTAGTTGAACCAAGTCTTATGAAATCCAGGTTTACACAAGATATGAAGTAGGAGATAAATGATTGTTTGTTCTACAAAAGGAATCTTTTAACTGTAACTTGTGTGTCTATTGCATTTCAAGGTCTATTTGTTTATAGTCTGAGGGACTATCAAAGAAATGAGGATGCCAGTTAATCACACATTCTGACTAACAAAGTTATCTGTTGTTTCAGCTGTCTTTAGTCCCAAGCAGATTCAGAACCAGGGAGGTAAAACCATAGTAATTCATTTCACTCAGAGAAACTAGAAAATAAAATTATTAATGGAAAGTTATTAAATTTTCTCTTCTGGTGGATTATAGTATTCCTTTATTTATTTATTTTTTTTAAAGATTTTATTGATTTTATTTTTTTCCCCCCAAAGCCCCAGTAGATAGTTGTATGTCATAGCTGCACATCCTTCTAGTTGCTGTATGTGGGACTCGGCCTCAGGATGGACGGAGAAGTGGTGCCTCGATGCGCACCCAGGATCCGAACCCAGGCCACCAGCATCGCAGCGCGCGCACTTAACCACCAAGCCACAGGGCCGGCCCTACAGTATTCCTTTAAAATAGGTGTGTGTGTGTTTACATTCAAAGTAGTACCACCTGTCAGCATAAAGATATGGCTGTAAGAATATTTACCATAGTAAAAATTGGGAACACTCTAAATATCTAATAGAGAATATGTTAAACAATATGCTAGAACATTATGCAGTATTAAAAAAAAGATATTGTAAAATAGCATTTACTGATTTAGAAAGATAATCACAATAACTTATTGAGTGGGAAAAGAACAAGTTACAAAATTGTATATACAGTATAATTGTATTTTCATTTTAAATAAGGCTGTGAATGTGGAAAGATTAAAAGGTTATACACCAATATGTTAGCAGTGGTTATCTTGGGGAAATGAGATCCTGAGTGATTTTTATATTCTTTTTGCATATTCTTTTTTTTCAGTGAGAATGAATTACTTTTAGAATAAGTTTTTTAAACATCATTTAAAATAGCAAAAAGTTCAAAATCACATTTGGGGTGAATATTCAAGGAATGATTCTTATTTTAGTTAAGTAAAATAAGTATCTGCCATTTTGTCTAATGTAGCTAGTGTAGGGAAAGAAAAGTTTTTCTCCACCCTCTTAAGGTCTCTGGCTGGGTCTGAAAATTAAACTGATAAAGATTAACGGGAGAAAAGTATACACATTTATTTAATATAAGTTTTACATGACACAGGAGCTTCCTGAGGAAATGAAGACCCAAAGAAACAGTTCGACCTGAGTATGTTATGCTAGGTTAGATGGAGAGTGGACAGTCGTGGAGGAATATGATGGGTTAAGGAGTATGAGATAATTGTAGTAAAGAAGTGGGGAACTTAGCAAGACCTGTTTGTTAGGATTCTTCTTGGTGTCCCTTGTCTTCGGAGATAAAGATCTCCCTTTCCTCTTGGTGTAGGGAGAGCACCTCTCACATGAGGGTTTTATGACCTATTTCAGGGAAGAAGGGCGAGGCGGAGGAGGAGCTCGGAGTAACCTTCCTGTTTCTGCTGTTTTGTCAAACTCCTTCACCTTAAAGTAGCCAAGGTGCCATATTTTGGGGTAGTGTGTCCTGAACCCCATCAATTGCCATGATTAACTTGTTTTGGAATTTGTTAATGATGGTTCAGCTCTCATTAATATTACAAGTATTACCTTCATTTATCTTTGATACCTCATTTGTGAAGGAAATTTGTCAAAAACTTTAATAAACGGGGCCGGCCCCATGGCTTAGCGGTTAAGTGTGCTTGCTCCGCTACTGGCGGCCCGGGTTCAGATCCCGGGCACGCACCGACGCACTGCTTGTCTGGCCATGCTGAGGCGGCATCCCACATACAGCAACTAGAGGCATATGTAACTATGACATACAACTATCTACTGGGGCTTTGGGGAGAGAAAGGGAAAAAAAAAAGGAGGAGGATTGGCAATAGATGTTAGCTCAGGGCCGGTCTTCCTCAGCAAAAATAGGGGAAGATTGGCATGGATGTTAGCTCAGGGCTGATCTTCCTCACAAAAAAAAAAAACAATTAAATGTCAAGAATATAATTGTGGGGACAATGAATTGAACACTTCTCGCCAATGATTTAAGTAAAAATTATTTTAATCAAATTCACTTTATTTTCCATAAACATTTTCTATAAAAAGTACAATGTCTGAAAAACTGAGTTAAAACTGTAATACTACAAAATTAGATAGGCTCCAACTTGGATGCATGTTCTAAATGCTTATTTAATAATAGGTTAACATATCTTGAGCAATTCTTATGGTATTATGTGGAGGGCTTTACATGCATTATCTCATTTAATCTAACATCTCTTCTAGGTAGTTAGATACTTTTAACATCTCCATTTCCCGTTTGAGAGGAAAGGCTTAGACAGGTTAAATATCTTGCCCATGATCACACAAGTAAATAGTAGAGGGAGGATTTGAACCCAGAGAACCTCACTTAAGAGGTCATGCCCTTAATCACTAAGATGATCTGCTTGAACTGGTAGATGCTTTTGTGACCAGTATTCCCTTGAAGCAATGACACCTTAAGGTCCTAAGATACCATAGAGGAATAAAAAACTTGAGCTATTTTATTGATTATATGGTGTTCATACAACTGAGAAGGCTGTCAGTATCCTAGTCTAAACCTGCTCCCCAAAGAGAAACTTTCATAAAAATGTGTAAGTCCTAATTTTGAATATCTTCTTTTTTTGTGTCTGAGGAAGATCAGCCCTGAGCTAACATCTGACAATCCTCCTCTTTTTGCTGAGGAAGACTGGCCCTGGGCTAACATCCGTGCCCATCTTCCTCCACTTTATATGGGACGCCGCCACAACGTGGCCTGACAAGCGGTGCGTCGGTGCACGCCTGGGATCCGAACCCCGGGCCGCTGCGGCAGAGGGCGCGCATTTAACCGCTGCGCCACGTGGCCGGCCTCAGAGGTTTTCTAAAGCTATTAGTTGAAGCAACTAAAAGAACAAAAAGTAAATCATTATGAAAATGCTAGATCTTTCAAAGTATTCCTACTAGAAAATGTTTCATATCCATTTGAATATTAAGCTTCCTCTCAACCTTAATTCAATGCTACTTAACATTTTTCTCTTTGGAAGTATTATGAGTGTTAGTTAGAATTCCAAGTGAGCCTCCAAAAGATTTAGTTGGTAGATTATAATTGGAAGAATGTGTGCCTGCAATTAACAATAAAATCCTGAATGTAGAATGTTAAAGTATAAGGGACTTAGTTGGTAAGTATATTCAGCTGCTAGTAACAAAGACTCCCAAAATAGTGATTTAAACAAGATAAAAAGTTTCTTTTTCTCTCATGTAGAAGGAATTCATTTTGACCATTTTGTAGTCGTCAAGGACCCAAGCTGTTTCTTTCTTGCTGCTTCGCTCTCCCCAGGGCATGGCTTCCATGCTCAGGGTCTAATATGGCTGTTAGAAGTCCAGCCAGGAGGTCCCGGCAGGAAAGGCAGATAGACTCAAGGGCAAATGTTCCCCTTTAAGATGCTATCCTAGAAATTCTAACCCACAACTCCCCTATATCTTACTGGCTAGAACTTAAGTCTAGAGCAACAACTAGCTGCAAGAAAGGCTAGAACATTGTTACTCAGAATAAAATTGGGCTTCTCCTACTTAGGAAGAAAAGGAGTATGTGTTTTTGGAAAGCAGCCAGCAGCGTCTGTCGTAAGCTATGGAGACACCTCATCCAGACTTCTAAGTTTCAGCTCTTAAGACCCAGACTTCACAGCTGTCTGTACAGCTGGGTAGTGGCAGAGTTATAATCAGAACCTAGATGTCTTGCTGACCTGTATTAACCCGAGGGCTCACAACTGCTTCCACTAATGATGAATTAGATAAAGTGATAATGAATCAATCTAGCATTAATACAAGAGTTTTTCTTTGCCGCTTCGCCTCAACATCTATCCCCGCCACACACACACACACACGCTTGTATCTCTTGGAGTGTTATTACCTGCTTATTTGAGAAACCTTTTGATGATCATTTTTCCCTCAAGATAAAAGTTATATTGGCTGTCTAGATTCTGTGATTAAAAGTAGTTTTAGTAGGCTCTAAAAACATTTAACATCTGTTTTTAACATTAATGGTTTTATAACTTCAGGTAAATTTTTTTCTCAATTTTCTTCTGCAGTATAGCGGAAATACAGAAAGATGTGGAATACAGGTTGCCATTCACCATAAACAACCTGACCATTAACATTAATATGTGAGTATTATATCCTGTTTTTTCACATAATAGGACTTAAAAAAATCTTATTACCTCATTTCTTAGTTTTAAAGTGAACTTATTTCAGATATTCCCTTTTTAGTAACTACAATTTATCAAAGTTACACAATTTCATGAAATAAAAAAATTTTAAAGACATCATTGTAATGTATATTGCTGTAAGAAAGAAACTACAAAAGAGGAAATGGTAAGAAAAACTATAAAAGAGGAAATGCAATAGAAAGATATAATAATCCTTAGTACCATAATCGTTTTTATTGATTTGCACTGAAGTCTTAGCTGGTGATAGGCTGCAAGAGTAAGAATGATAATGAATCAAAGGTATCATGTTTGGAAAACCATTAGAGATATATTCACCTTTACATCAGAAACAAATTAAAATATTCTAATTTTCAGCGACCGATATATCAACCAGAACGTTCAAGGCTGAATTTGATCTGCTGATTATTTTTAAGGAAAAAAATTAAAAGTTAAAAATATCATCATGAGTTTATTAAGTTATAAAGAGGGAAGGTTGGACAAAGTGATTACTGAAGTACCCATTTAACCCTAAGTGCAATTGTTAGTCTTTAGTATGAAAGAATTCAGTTATTATCTCAGACTGCATTAGGTGGCTGCTGCTAGAGCGAGTGTTTGGGTGAGGTTATAAGGCACCTAACTTGAAGATAGGAACCATGGCTTATTCGTCTTCATATCTCCGTTGCCTAGCATAGTGTCTACACTAAGAAGGCCTTATTAAATCCTATGTGAATGAGTGAATTAAAGCATGAATATATAACAATGCCAAGCATTATGCTATGTTATCTTGATATATAGGAGCTTTTTGAATCCTTACAGCAGCTCTGTAAATTGGGGCAAATTACAGACACACAGGCAGTGAATAGTGTAGTCAGGGTACAAACCTAGATTGATTGGATTCCAAAGGCCATTCATTGCCTTTTTTACCAAACTGTTTTAACATCTTCAACTCTATAAATGAAGTAGTTTTATCTGTCTTCAGATGCCCTTGGTAGAGCTAAGTAGGAGAAGCCAACAAGGACCCAGTTTTCTTCCTGACAGTGCTACCAACAAGTAGTTTTCTGAGCCAACAGGGGAACAGAGAGGCAATTTAAAGTGACATATTCATCTGAGTTTTAGAGAAGATTAGAAAATAAGCTTCTACATGCAGAGAAATCCCATTTTTAAGATTTCACTCCCTAATTTTAAATTTGTTGTCATTCACAAGTTAAGATCATTTTTTCTTTTTTTATTGTATTGAGAATTTTTCTGTTCTTTACTTGAAACCATGTGATTGACCTCAGAGTTGGGAAAGATGTGTTAATTGGGACATTTAGAAGAGAGCCTTGCAGAACCAAGTCATGATGACAGCTACAATGTTACAATCCTAGTACTTTCTGTTTTATTCACTTACTATTTAAAAATTCAATAGATAGTGAAATAATTCTTGGCAGCATTTCAAAAATCAGAAAACCACGAGAAAATTATATGGCCAGAACCTGTGGTCCAATAAATAGCCAGACTGAGTAAATATGGTTCGCCTAATCTAAATTTTAGCTGAGATTTTGTATAGCTTGATATATTGTGTTTGACAGCAATTAATTGGCATGATATGAAGAGTATTCTATAATTCAAGGTATCCATATTCCACATTAAAAAAGTTTTACTGTATTAAATTACTTTATAATCTTGTTGCCAAAGTATATCCTTTTATATATTTTCAATCAACTCAACAACCGTAATAGAGTGCTTTTTACTGAATAATTAATCCAAATGAAAGTATGAAAATTTAATTTGCTTTTAACTAACTTTGTTTTAGGATTATGACAATGTAATGTAACATTTGTTGTCTTTGTTTTTGCTTTTCATCTGTTCTGCCTTTACCAGATTGCTCCCTCCACAATTTCCTCAGGAAAAACCAGTGATCAGTGTTTATCCACCAATACGACATCACTTAATGGATAAACAAGGAGTATATGTTACCTCTCCATTAGTAAACAATGTATGTATATGGTATAATTTATTTCAGAGTAATATAACAGGTGTATTACTTTTCTACTAAGTATTTTATAAATCTAAAATGCATTTAAAATCTCATTTTGTAATTAGTAATTTTTAAAAAGGTTTTTCACTATATGTAATAGATAATACTGATTTGAAGGTTGTTTTTCAGTGGTGAGGACCTGTTGATGTTAGAACTTTGATTCACAATAGATCTTCCACAGTTGTTAGGGAGGGATAAAATTCAAATATCTCTTACAGTTCTTGGGATATGTATATGATTGATTAATGTGAAGGACTGTAACTTAAATGTACTTTCAGTATTTACTTTTGAAACTTCAAATTATTGTAAATAGTGAAGTGTGGAAATATTTCAGCTCCATTATTGATTAAATAGACCTTTAATATGATTTATGGTGTTGATTCTATAAGAAAATAGTATAGGTTGTGGATTGCTAACATGTTCATTTGACACGATATCCTTTGCTTTTCATTTAACTCTTGCAAAAGTGGGTTTAAGATTAAGTTTTAAAGTGACATTATCCTGATAAGACTTTAGTCTTTTTCTGAAAGTGATTTTGATCATCCTGTTTTACTGTATTACTTTCAGTTTACAATGCACTCGGATCTTGGAAAAATTATTCAGAGTCTGTTGGATGAGTTTTGGAAGAATCCTCCAGTTTTAGCTCCTACTTCAACAGCGTTCCCATAGTAAGTATATTTATAACAAAAATGTTAGTATATATTTATTTTCATTTATTTTTATCAAAGTAATCAAAATATAGTTTAAGAATGCAAATGATGTTAAAAGGTAGTCCTCTGCTTTCCACCTCCCCGCCCTCACACAGATACATTCATACTCCAGAGGCAACTGTGTTTTCTTCTTTTAGCTGCTTCTCTATTTACCTTCATCTTTCTGAATAATATAAACATAGTGCTATCTCTTGATTCTTTCATGTTAGATATTATCTATTGTCCTCTTATTATGATTGATGAGGAGTTATCATTCACAAACCTTCCTTTTTCCTCATCCTCTCAGTGAGGTTATATCATGAGTTTTACTTAAGTTCATGTTTGGTGTTTTCATTACTTTGACTCGCTAAAAATTCCGTTGCTGAGCCAAGTACTTTATTGTGATTACATTTCCCTTATGATATAACTTTTTGCTTTTTTGCTTACTTCCATTTTCCATTGGTTTCATTTTCTTAGATCTTTTTAATTTTCCACATCTTTCAGCAGCTCTGAAAAATACCTTTCAAATTGTTTTTTCACATCATCAAACCTGTCAGGTAATCTCTAGGTTCTGGTTTTTTTTCCCCTCGCAGACATTGCTTCATTTTTTTGCCTCTATCATAATTAGTTTCTCTCTATGACTGCTGCACAGCTGTCATCCTGGGATTTCCCTTTGCCACTTTCCCATATTGGATTCTCCTTTTCCTGGATCCTGTTTTTCTTTTTCTCAGGCTATTTCCTAGTTTCTTGCTTGACTGTCTCCTAATAGCTTCCTGAGTAAAAGTATGTTCCAGTTACTAAGGATGAAATAACAAATTATCTTAAAACTGTGGCTAAAATAATGACAACATTTATTTGCCTTGTGACTCTGCAGTTTGGTTAGGGACTAGTGGAGATAGCTTGGTTTTGCTTCCCTTTTGCATTAGCTGGCATAGCTTGAAGTCTAGGGGTTGTAATCATCTGAAGGCTCACTTAATTCTCATGTCTGGCAGTTAATGTTGGCAGAACCTTAGTAAAGGCTATCAGCTGAGACATCTATATATGGCCTCTCCACGTGGCCCAGGCTTCCTCACAGCATGGTGATTGGATTCTAAGGGCAAGCATCTCAGGAGAGAGCAAGCCAAGTGGAAGCTGCATTGCCTTTTATGATATATCCCTGGATGTCACTCAGCATCATTTCTGCTGCATTCTGTTTGTAAAGTCAGTCACCGAGTCCCACCCAGGTTCAAAGGGGAGGGGAAGTAGACTCCATCTCTTGATGGGGTGGCAAAGTTCAAGTAGAGCATGTGGGACTAGAAATCTGGTTGTGGCCATTTTGGAAAATATAATCTGCCACAGTTCTCCTGGCTACAAGAATTCACATCTCTCCTATATGCAAAAATGCACTCAAACCTCCTCCCCTAAGAACTTGCAGAGTTCGTCACATTACAGAATTAAGCTCATATTCAGGGTCCAGGGTTATAGCATCTAAATCAGGTTCAGGTACAGATGAGGTTTCTCAGGTGTGTTCCTCAAGTACAATTCGTTTTGATCTGAAGACAAGTGAATTAAAGAGACGGGGTAGCTGTCCCTCACACACCCATCATACAACAGTAGAACAAGCCTAAGATAACCACTATAGACTCTTTCACTCAAAAAGGGAGAAAATGGGAGGCACACAGGAGACACCATCTATAGCAATTCTGAAATCCACCTGGGCCCATGTTGCCATTGCTTTGATTAGGACTTAGTCTTACTTTGTGGGAATGATTCTTCACAGAGTAGTTCCGGGTTCTTGGTTTTGCCTTCTTAGTAAGTCTTCCTGTCCATAATATGTAGCTCTTGTTTGCAGGTGAGTAGATTTTTCAGCCTGCTTCGTGCTTATGGAAGTTTAAGGGTCCACTGGCCTCTTTTCATTTGATACTCTCTCTCTCCCTTTTAGACCAAGATGATGCAATTCTTTAAAATGTTTGTAGTTCTCTTATGAATTCTTTTTTTCATCTGTTTCTTTAGACAAAGCCAACACCACAAGTCTGCAAATTAAACCACTGGGCTTCCTGTTAGGCTGCTGAGACAACTCCCTTAAGATTCTTAGCAGCCCTAGGCGGCCTTTTGTCTTACTGGACAGTTCTCTGAGGCACTGCCTCAGTTCTTTTAGAGATGTTTTAACAAAGGGTCTTTTAGCCAGCCTGGGTTTGATCTTTTCTTTGAAGCTCTTTCTTAATTTGAAATCTTAGAGAAGCTGGGAATGAGAGACATTTTTATTTTCAAACCCAAGAAGTCATGTCTCTATATTTAGCAGTTCTTTCTTTAATTTCTCTCTCTTCTGTCACATTTTACTGTAGCCAACTAGAAGTCAGGTGGCACCTTTAACGCTGCCTGGAAGTCTCCTTAGCTAATCATCCGACTCACTAGGTGCATTTTTTATTTCCCACAGTATTGCAGGCAACATTGTTGGTAAACTTTCCACTCATACATAACAAAGTTTGCCTTCCATAACAGTTTCCTCACTTTCCTCTAAGTGCTCATTGACCCCTTCTCAGAGGCCCATCAGACTTCTGCTAACAGTCTCCTTGAGGCCTTTCAGTCTTTCGCACTCTCCTGAGGGTACATGTAGCTTTCACCTCAGTCCCAAAGTCACTCCTACGTTTTAGATGTTTTTTTGTTACAGCAGCATTCCACTTCCAGGTGCTAAAATCTGTTCTGGTTGCTAAGGCTTCATAACAAATTACCCACAAAATTAGGCTTAAAACAGTGAACACATTTATTTTACTCACTAATCTTCAGTTCAGGCAGGGTTCTTCAGAGAGCTCTTGTCTGCTCTGCTTGTCATCAGCAGGCTCTCAGCCTGCCCATCAGAGGCCTTGCCTGGGGACGTCTGCTGGAAAACCTCGATGTGGCCTCTCTGTGTGGCTTGGGCTTCCTCACACATAATGGGTGCGTTCTGAGGGTGAACATCCTGAGAGAGAGTTGTGAGAAAGTCATATCACTTTCTGTGACTTAGCTGCTGAGGTCATCAGTGTCACTTCTGCTACATTCAGTTTGTTGAGGCAATCAAAAAGTCCTGACGGGATTCAAGGGGAGGAAAATAGGCTTTTCTTCTTGATGGTGGAGTGACAAGGTTCTGGAAGAGTGTGTGGGACCAGAAATATTGCTGTGGCCGTTTTTGGAAAATATAGTATGCCACAAGATGCTTGGAAGATAAATTTTGAGACTTTTTTTTTTAATCTGCAAATGTCTTTAATATGACCTCATGCTTAATAGTTGATACAGTTCAAATTCTAAGTTGAAGTGGTTTTCCACTCAGAATTTTGAGGGTAGTGCTCTCTTGTCTATATATAGGCTTCTGTTGTTGCTAAGATGTCCAGTGCCATTTTGATCCTTTATAATTTTTTTTTATCTTTGGTATCTGAAACTTGCCTGATGGTGCAACTTGTTGTTGGTCTTTTTATTTCCTCTTCCCAGAATATTTATTAGCTGTATTGCCCAGTCCTTCTACTTAATTTCAAGAACTTTTTCTTGTTCAGAAGTCAGGAGGCAGGGCCGGCCCCGTGGCTTAGCAGTTAAGTGCGCACGCTCCGCTGCTGGCGGCCCGGGTTCGGATCCTGGGTGCGCACCGACGCACTGCTTCTCCGGCCATGCTGAGGCCGCGTCCCACATATGGCAACTAGAAGGATGTGCAGCTATGACGTACAACTATCTACTGGGGCTTTGGGGGAACAAAAATAAATAAATAAAATTATTAAAAAAAAGAAGTCAGGAGGCATCTTTAACTCTGCCTGGAAATCTGCTTAGCTAGATTATCCAGTTCATTAGGTACATCAGCCCCACCCCTCATCTTTGCCCTCCTGTGTCTGTGTCCTGGAGTCATGAGCCTCACTGATATTCTTTATCTAAAAGCTATATTTCCTATCTTATCTCAGGTTTGGGTTAGATATGAACTCATTCACCTTATTTGAAAATACAAGCCAACGAGTTTACTTTTTTCCATTTCAAAAAGTTCTGTGACACAGTGCACATTATTAAAAAGCAAATTTGATGAATTTCTTACATTATTTTATAGGTTGTACCTGCTACTGAGGTCAAAATAAAGCAAATTGGTTCAAAATTATGAAGACTTTAATTCAAGGATAGTATGAATATTCTCTCATGTTGATCATATTGTTTCTAAATATATCTACACATATCACTATGTGTAGCCATCCTTTGAAATAAACAAGCTTACTAAAAAACTTTTTTTAACTTAATTTTTTCAAACAATCATATATTCACTTGGCTGAAAATTCAAAAAGTATAAAAAAGTATGGGGTGAAAAGTCTCCCTGCCACTTCTTTTTTATATAACAAGACTCGTATTGGTGGATATTTTCATTGTTTCTAATCTTTCCTAAAAGGCCCACCCTTCTTTACCCTCAGTGCTGCAGTGAATAACCTTAAAAATAACTTTACCCAAATGCGAGGATATTTGTTGGATATATTCTCAAAGTGGTGTGCACATTTGCAGTTTTGACAAATAGAGCAAAATTACCTTACAGAGTACTTGTACCGATTTCTACTACCATACACAATGCTTACTTCCCCATAGCCATTGCCAACGTAGTATATTATCAAAATGGATTTTTGCCAATTTATAAGCAGAAAATGATGTTAGTATAATTTTAGTTGTATTTATCTTACTGACAGTGAAGTTGAGCATCATTTCCTATGATTTAAAGATGTTTTTCTTTCCTTTTCTGTAACCTGTGTGTTCTGTCCTATTCTCCATTTTGCTGTTTGGTTGTTAGTCTTTTATCAATTTGTAGGAATTCTTTATATATTAGAAACATTTTTCCTGTGTCTGTGATATGAATTTCAAATGTTTTCCCCCAATTTGTTATTTGTCCTTACTTATAATAGGCTTTGTCATGTAAAGCTTTTTTTTTTTAATATCGTGGAATTTATCATTATTTTCTCTCATGACTTCTGAATTTGGGATCACAGAAAGTCTTGTCCCACCCTAAG